AGTTGCCGGATTGGCCTAACCCACGACAATAGCACACAAAAAATTCAGTAGCACATGTGGAAACAACATAGCAAATAGAAATTGAATGAGAAAGAATGAACTTACTTTGTTCCATGTTTTACGGCTTACTTCACGTTTATCAATTATATAGCCAGTAACTGGGCTTCCACCATCATCTTCTGGAGGTTCCCATGACAGCTGTACTGTGTTCTTGATTACATCTAAAACTTTAAGTTCTCTAGGTGCACTTGGACGAGCTAAAAATCACATAAATTTTATTACTTATTTTGTAATCGGAGTTTGACAGATGATCTCTATGTAAACCATCTGCCAGAAGACTTATTTTTCTTAGTCATTCTTCCTTAAACATCAAAGTTGGCTATTGAAAATCAGAAAAGAGTTTTTTTGGAGGATGGATCTAGGTTTCAGTTATATTTTAACACACTCGGTTTATTGAAAGTTGTGTGATTTTGCATTATTAACCTAATTCAATTTTAGCAAGACAAATATGGAATCTTATTGCTAGAGGACACACATGTCCACTTACCAATGACATTAACGTTAATTTCTCCTGAAACAGATGACACAGGGTTTTCTAATGTTAAGGAATAAATTCCCTTGTCTGGACGTTCACTTGGAGTAATTACAAGTTCTGCAAAGGAGGCAGTGGTCTTCATTGTTACACGATCACCCTTTTCTAAGACTTGGTCACCAAAAGACCATGTGGCAGTTGGCACAGGGTAGCCAGTGATAGGAACACGGATCTTGATTGGCTCTGGAACAATAACTTCCAGCCCATCTTTAAATGCACTTAGGTCCATTGTAGGTCCAACTGGAAAAAGTGGAAAATTCATTTGATTAAATATTTTCAGATGTTCTGAATATGGCTAATGATAGCCGTGTTGAGAGGCTGATTCTGACTGTATCTCAGCCTTCAGGTTGGAGCTGTCTAGGCCTAGCTGTGGCTCATTACTCCCTATCTCTCCTGGCTAAACATTTTTCACAAATACATGAGATGATAAGGCAGCTTAACATTGTTGAGTAGATCCAATTTACTCTTTAATATACAAAGTTTGTACTGTTTTAATCATTACTTTTTTAATATTCTCTGTCTTTCTCTTCTTCTGTTAGCTCTCACCTTCCACAAAGCTAGGTCAGGAGACAAAAGGTCATGCCTTGCTCTTCAGGCAACCTAATAGGTCTCTACCTAAGAGTACAGCTAATTATCTGCAGAATTCGTAATGAAGGAGAAATAGCTCAGAATCTCAAAGGTCTAAGGCTTTTTATACCAGTTGGCTTCACAGTTATCTGGTGAAAAATATACATATTACCAATAAGATCCACTTTAATTGTGTGTCTTATCTGACTAATTATATTTAATAAATAGCATGTGACTTACCAAAAGTATCATCTGCAGTTAATGGCCCAATAGCCTCTGCTGGGTCAGACACACCAGCTGCATTTTCTGCTGAGACTCTATAGTAATAACTGGATCCTGGTTTCAATCCAGTTACCTAAAAGGCACAAATAATCATTTAGTAACTCATATGAAAGACGAGCTACACATTTTGAGTACTTTGTTGATGAAGAGAACACCTCACCTTAAAAGTAAGAGCAGGTACTAGTTTTGGATTACAGCGAATCCACTTGTCTGTTCCTTCTTCTTGCCTTTCAACAATATAGCCTAAGACTGGACTTCCTCCATCTTTGAGAGGAGGTTCCCATGTGAGCTGCACCGATGACTTAGTTTGATCTGAATGATCAAGGTTAATGGGAGGACTTGGTCTCTCTGAAAATAATTTGAGAGAAATACATTTTCACAACTGATAAAGGAGTATGGTTCTGCATATCAGCTGTCTATACCTCAAAGTACTCTTTTTAAAGACTTTCCATAGCTTCTTCTAAACCAGTTTTTAAAACTGAGGTTGGATCCTAATTCCAGAGCAAAAATATATGGAATTCTTACTGAACCAAATGGTAGCAAGGTATTTCTGATATATTCGAAAGACAAAAGTAGGAAAAATCTAACTGTACATAGTATTTGCAGAACACACATTTTTCAATTGAACTTTCTTGCACACATAATACATAAGCAGCCAAAATGTCCCTGTCTCATAACTCAATCACAATCAGTGCTTGCATACTTACCGATTGGGTCCATAATTTTTACTGCACGTGTAGCAGGACTTGGTTTGCCAACTCCAACCATGTTTTGAGCTCTTACTCTGAAGAAGTATTCTTCATTTTCCACAACATCAGTCAGGACAGCTGACAGTTCATCAGCTCCAGTGGTCATAGTTGGTTCCCATTTGATGGAAGCTCTGTTACGCAGTTCAATAACGTAGCCAGTAATTGGAGTTCCTCCATCATACTCAGGTGGTTCCCAGGTAAGTGTAGCTCCAAACCTGTTCACATCGGTAACTTCGACATTTTGAGGAGGACCAGGAACTTCTGCATTTTATTTTAGGGAGAAAAAGGAAAAACAAGGTATATGGGTTTTATCTATTGTTAGAATTTGTACTGCTTTTCTTACAGTGTCATCAAACACTGAGTTTTTCATAACTTCTGCTCACCAAATTTGCTTTTAGCTTCCACAGGGGTGTCTGTTTCCACTGGCTCACCAGTGCCCACTCTGTTCCGTGCACTAACACGGAAGAGGTACTCAACTCCTCCTTTTTGAAGCCCAGTAACACTGTATTCACAATTTTCAGCACGATCAGTGACCATAATCCAGGTCTTGCGCTTGATATCACGTCTTTCAACGACGTAGCCTATTATTTTACTTCCACCATCACTTTCTGGTTCTTGCCAGGCAAGACCAACTTCACCATCATAAGTTTCAGTGACTTCTAAGTTTCTGACTGGACCCGGAACATCTAAAAAAGATACGACAATATTTTAGGGCATCTTTTTTCTTTTTTTCTTTTTTTTTTTCCTCTCTGGCTTAAATAAATATAGGCAAAGTTTTAATAATGGGAGTACTCACCAATGACATCTACATTGATGAATGCTTCTGCCTGGCCATGTTTGTTTCGAAGTATAACCTTGTACCTTCCCTTATCTGATTTCTTTGCTTCATAAATTTTGAAGGTAGTGCAGTCAGTTGTTGTATCAACAGTTGTTGTGGGCAGACTTTCCTCCCCTTTCAGCCATTCAGCTTCTGCTCTTGGGTAGGCATCATATGGAACAGTCATAGTTAAAGGCTTCCCAACATCAACCACAAGGTTTTGATCAGCAGTCTTGATTCTAGGTGCAGCTAAGGAAGATCAATGTGACAAGTAAGTACTTAAATATAAAAAAAAATGATACATTTGTGTAGTCAGCAAAGATGCTAACATAGAAAAGTAAAAGGAGCTGTTGTGTGAATTCTAAGCAAATCCTTCATGTACTCATTGGATTGCTCCAAAGAAAAAAACTGAGGCTGATTGGTATGTACTGTGTCTTCCTATGAAATCAAGGAAGAGGGAGTTGCTTGTTGAGCATTAATTTAATATATTTTATTGGTCTGATCTTGTAAAATAAACAAATTAGGAGTCAAACATCTTATATGACCAAAATGAGTAGGCCAAATAATTTTCATGTTTTAGAAAATGACCTAATGAAAAGGTTCTTTATCCTTTAAACTCAATTCATATTCTTTGGTATAGACACTGAAAAGTGACCTATATTTTCCCCAACAGTTGGATCAGCATGGTCTAATAAAAAAACTTTGTTGCCTGAATTGTAATTCACACAATTTAACAGACTTGCACTTGTCTCAGCCTGATTGTGTATTAATTTTCTCTTCATTCAACTCTTTGAAAGAGCAGAAATCAATTCAGTTAAATAGTAAATTCAGTGATCTAAGATTTTATAAAGGAAACACAAAGCAAACAACTTACCAGCTAATTCAAGCTTAGCTCTAGCTTCCTTATCTTTGGCAATAAATCTGTATTCCCCTTGGTCACGGGGCTTTATGTCGCACACCTGCAGCCTGTGGACCTTTCCTTCACTCATCATTTGATGTTTGTCACCTTGGACGATAATCATGTTGTTTCTCAGCCACTTGACCTCCACACCATCTTTGTTCAACTCAGCCATGAAGATGACATCTGCACCAGGAGCTTCGTAAATATCTTGTGGTGGTCGGATGATCTCAACAGGAATTTCTGAAATAAATGTCAATTCATTTGGTGTTACTTGTGTTTTGTTCCTATTATTACTAAATAATGAAGAAATAAATCCTATTAGATTTTACTCGTACCTTCAACAAAAAGTCTTGCCCTCGATTTCCTGTCATCCACTCCACAGGAATATTCACACTCATCATCTAGTCTACAGTCTTTTATGATTAATCTGTGCAGATTTCCATCCTTTTCGAACTGGTATCTTTATGGGGGAGAAAAGTAAACAATATTTTAGTTTCCAGACAAAGCAACAAAGTAAAGTAAGCATGTTTAGCATATTAACAAGCATAATAAAATGTACATACTTTTTGCCTTCTTTGATTTCTCTTCCATTTCTGTACCATCTGACACTGGCTTTTTCTTTGGAAAGCTGGCACGTAAAGACAGCATCGTCAAATTCAGTGACAGTCTGGTCCCGGAGATGTTCAATGAAGTCTGCTGGTGCTTCTGTGATGAGAAGCTCTGCAACAGATTTGTCCTGTCCAGCAGTAACAGTGTATTCACCTTCATCTATAAACCCACAGTCTTTAATGATGAGTGAGTGTTTGTACTTATCAATTTTGTACAAAATGCGCTTGTTGAATGTAATCTCTTCACCATTCCTTGTCCATTTGAGTGTTGCATTAAGGCGATTGACTTTGCACCAGAATGTGACGGTTTTCTTTTCCATGGTCTCAATGTCTTCAAGGGGCTCAATAATTCTGAGATCCTCCTCTGTTAAGACAAAAACCCCAAAATTATTAATTTACATTCTCATGATCCTGATGTGAAACTGAATTTAAGATGCTGAAATAATTTTAATACAGTGCAAGTTATTTACCTAATACTGTTAAGGCAGCAGAGCTTTTGACATGTTCACCTCTCTGGTTTGTCATTGAGACGGTATAGGTAGCTTGATCTTTCAACTGTGCATCTCTGATTCTGAGAGTGTAAACTAAATCCTTCTGGACAATAATGTATTTTGCACTATCAAATATTGGCTCATCATTTTTGTACCACTTCTCCTTGGCACCTTCTTTATTGACTTCACAGTTGAAGATAATTTCTTGACCCTCATTAACTTCTTGGTCCTTAAGGGGAGTTATAATCCTGAGTTTTTCTGAAAGTGAGAAATTAGAAGAAATAAGGCATCATGCAGTATAAGGAATGCAACAAAATACGCACCTACAGTAATAAAATAAAGCTTACCAATCACTGTTAAGCGTGCTGTAGCTTTAGCTTCACCAACCATGACAGTATACTTTCCTGCATCTCCTAGTATAGAATCTTTAACCACAAGTGTTCTCTTTTTACCATCTGAAATGATGTCATACTTATCACCAGGCTCCAGGACTGCGTCACCCCTCAGCCACTGTACTGTAATTGCTTCTTTGGATACTGAACAGACAAATTCAGCTTTGTCTCCTTCAAGCACCTCAAGATTTTGTGGTCTGGTAAGAAATTCTGCTGCAAGTTCTGAAAGAAAACATTTTGGTACATATGTATGGTTTTATTTTTACTTATAAAGAGAATAAACCAAGTTGTATATTCTTACTGATTTTTTTTTTTTTAAGAAAACAAGGCCACCAAAGTAACTCTCTTACCATGTACAGTAAGTTTTCCTGTTGTACTAGAGCTTGGGAGCTTGCAAGTATATTTGCCAGCATCTTCAGGATGAGCATTACGTATGAGAAGAATTCTCTTTCGGCCATCAGAAATGTGTTCAAATCTACCACCATCAGGCACCTCCTCATCTCCTTTAAACCAAGCAACTTCGGCATTAGGCTTTGAAACTTCACAGATCAATTTTACAGTGTCATTTTCATTTACTTCAAGATCAGGAAGATTTTTTGTGAAAACAGCCTCTTCCTCTGCAACAAGAATTTAGAAAGATGATTAAACCCTTTCATCAAAAAAAATTTTTTTCTTGTTCATAGATTAAATTCTAAATCACTGTGTTTACCTATCACCGTAAGTAAGCCTGAAGTTCGAGCTGTTTTTGCTTCACAGGCATATTCAGCTTCATCATCGAAGACACATTTACTGACAACAAGAATGCGTTCTGCACCTTTGGAAATTATGTCATACTTTTTGCCTTTTCTAATTTCAATACCATCCTTAAACCACTTCACCTGTTTTAGAACAAATCAACATGGTTATTAATATGAACATGCTCATCATAGAACTCAGTTGTGTGTTCTTTCATAACAACACAATGAAGTTGTCAATTTAAAAAAAAAGCTCTAGTTGAAGGAGTTACTTAGATTAAAAAGTATTATTATTGACCTTGACGCCTGGACGAGAAATTTCACATTCAAACCGAGCAGATTGTTTTTCTTTAACTTCAAGGTCAGTTAGGGGTTTCAGGAATTCAACACGAATTGCTATAAGAGAAAAGAAAATTTTTAGTAGAGGAAAGTTTCCAGTAGAGAAGAACAAATTGCTGACATTGATGGTATCGCCAGTCATAGACACTAGTACATAGTGTTTATAGCACTTAGACGTTTTGTAGAAAATTGTAAATGACTCACGTTCTACATTGAGAAAACATGATGTCTTGAAATCCTTAGCGTCACAGGTATATGTTTTTGCATCATCCAGTGTGCAGCCATGGATAATGAGTTTTCTGACTCTGCCATCAGAAATGATATCATACTTCTTTGTTTTGTGAATTTCTTCTCCATTTTTGAACCATTTAACTTTTGCATTTTCCCTGGAAACTTCACATTCCAGTATTGCAGTGGCCTCCTCTTCAACAGTCTGATCCTCAAGTGGTTTAGTAAATTCAACTGGGGGTTCTAAAAGAATCAGATAGATTTTTGATAGAAAAGATCTAAATCATAGTCATCCCTCTGCTAGTAAAAAACTGTCCCATATTGTTTACTAATTTTCCTTGACTGAATAATCAAAAAGGATCTTAGATGTCTCTGCTGAAGGTTTTTTTTTTTTTTTTT